AAAGGCATGTCTCTAAGGACATTTTCCATGAGGTAATAGTCCAATAGGTAGTCTATTTTAACAAAATGGTTAAAAAGTGCCATGATTATAGAATACACATCAGTTGGTTATTAGTCGAGATGAAAATATAAAATATATTATTTATTGTAGTGCAATTAGATATTGTGACCAATTAATCTCAAGAATCAAACATAGATTTGCGAGGATAATTTCAAAACCTAAATAAAGGTTTTACCAATATAATCTCAAGAAACCAACAAAAACATCAAATAAGAGTATCACACTCTTGATGAATAACAATACAAAGCTATTGTTTGTTTGTCTCATGTCTCATATTGACAAGTTTAGTGCACTCAAAGCTCAAAGTTGTCCCCCAAGCGGGAGAATTGAAGGAAACAATGCTCCTCCAGAACAACGTAATCAAAAGAATGATTTTGATTGTTGTGTGCAAGAAAAAATTTACACAACTTATCAATGATCTCATCGGTGACTGATACTTTTAACAAATGTACTAAATGTTATTCAAAGTTTGGATTATTAAAGTGGCTTGTAGACATTTACACAAGACGATTAAAGTGCACTTGAAAGTAAAATTAAGGGTTTTCAATGTTTGGTTTAAAAGAATAATTGCATAAATAAAAATTTGTTGGAAAATTAATCAGATTAAAGATGATTGTGCCTTACTTCGAATTCCATGTATGTCACTTTTGATGATGGTGGCTATTTTCCCTATATTGATTTCTATGTGATTACGAAGGTTTAACTTCGACCTTATACCCAATTTATTGGTGTATAACTCACTATTCTACACTATGACTCCCTAATCATTTAGGTCAATTGGATAGTCAAAACATACAATATTCTATATGTTAAACCTTGAGCCAAATCTTATAGTTTATTATCCATAATCAGTTACTAAGTTGAACAGTTAACTTAGATTAGACTCGTATAGTTATGTTTAATAATTGATACGCATATAAGTTTGACATATGAATTTGTCAACACATATAAAACAATGAACATGAAATTAGTTGAATAAAGATACTGAATGAATCAAAAGTGCCAATAGTACAATACACAAACATATGATTTGATGGGTTCAAACAGGTTCATCTAGCAAGCCCTAATCAATAGAAATTTAACTACTCATAATAAAAGTAATCATAACTGAAGAATTAAAGAGACAATACATGAATCTTCAGTTAGAATTTAGCATCCGATGATGAAAACCTTCGCTTCTGAGCTCCAACACTTGCTTTGCCGTCAAAACTTTGTACCAAAAATGTCCAACATTTTTTCCCTCCTCGTTTTACCTTCCAATAGTAAAAACGTGACACAAAAGGGTTGCGTCACGCCACGATGATTTTACATTGTGCCACAATGGGATGCATTTCTATGCACAATGTGGCCACGAAATTTCCAGGGGCAAAGTGCTCTTTTTCGTCACAATTCTCATATTTTTCTCCTTTTTGCCTAATTCCTTCACTTCTTAATTTCCTTTCTATTTCTTTATCAAACTTAACTAAAATTACTTGAAACTGATTAAAAACACAACCAAAAGCTTATAAAAATTACACGATGATAGAGTATTATCGAAATCCAAAACTTACAATGTTACTTGTCCTCAAGAAACTCATTCATAAAAGTGATCATCATTATAACTTTGTACTTATCAAACCAATGACAAAAATCAATCGTTGTCAAGTTTTCACTTATGTTCCTTACTTCAATTCAGTATAATCCAAAAAGTTTTTCTTCAACTTTCCATATACTCAACCATCTCTCAATCTCATTATTCAATCTTATTTGAAAGAAAATGGTAAACACTTATTCACATATAATTAACACCAAACATAGGAATTTGTCATATTTCTAAAAATTCTTCACTTTCTATTCGAAAATAATCTTTTGAGATTTTCAAAGGTTGTAATGTGGCTTATGTATGGGTGCAATTTTGGATCTATGTGGTTGCAGGTAATGAAGATCAGTATCTGAAATTTTGATGATGACAGCGCATGGTAATAGCTTTCAACCCTGATGATAACTAAAGCATCTTATGACTCATCAGCAAGAGGACTGAAGATCAAGTTCGTGTACAATTAGTTACTATCTAGCAAAACTCTTGAAGCTCCTTTGAGAAAAGAGTGAAAGTTCGCCAAGTCATGTCTGTCTGTCTGAGTGAACCAAGTATTGTAAAAGTAAGGTGGTAGCTTAAGAGTACTAAGGAAACTCACACAAACGCACTTAAAATGATTTTCTAATCCAAAACCAAATTATTAAAAATATTTTCTATACCTTTTTCAAACCTTTTTTAACCTTTTAATCGATTGGAAAGATGTGTCAATCGATTGGCAAAACTTTTATAACCTACCAATCGACTGGGGCACTATGTTAATCAATTAGAAGAGTGATAATATATTATAAAATCAAATGGACAACACATAAATTATTTCAATGGGTCTATATCCAAACTTTCCTATTTGGGTCTTACAATCGATTATATTTTAGTTATCCAATCAGTTTGAGCATTTGGCCAGCCGATTAGATAATCAATTCGGCATATGGATTATTTCCTTTCTTGAGTTTTTAAACTACTATATGAGAGAGGCTCTCCCTAACTTCAAATCACGCCACTTTAAAAAAAATCATATTTCTTTGGAATTTATATATCTCCATGTATTTAAAAAATATTCCTATTCACTTCTATTTGTCTTAGTGTTACTAAGTGGAGCTTTACTTGTGAGGAATATATTTTTGTAAGTGATCGTGTTGTTTGTTTATATTCTTAATGGTGTGATACCTTTAGGAGATTGAGTTTGATTCTTGAGATAAACCTTTATAAAATCTTTGTTCTTGGTTTATTAAGCTTTTCCAAAAAAAGCTCTATTTTGGTTATTGAGATCAGACATAAATCTCTAAATGGTTCGATAGTTTATCCTAGGTTAAAAGTTGTCATTTGGTTAGAGATAATCCTGTTAAAATACCAATATCATATTTTATTAAAGTTTCATTAGCATAACCTTCAAAAACTCATAGTTTATAATAAAACTCTCAAGAATACCTCTTGGGGACAGGTCTAGGCCAACGTTCGACCAAACCTGTATAAATCTTCGATGCAATCGTTCTGACCCTTTTCTTTCATTTTCTATAATTTAATTTTAGCTTTTTATTTCTATTGTGATTACTCATCTAAAAAATTACTAATCCAATCTTATTCGGGAAAGGTTGAAATTAATCACGAATTTTAAATATCACAATTCATCTCATTCTCTTGGGCTTGAAGTCAGTTGTCCAAAAATAATATGTTCCATTGCGGGACCAGAATTGGTGAGGATTGCAGAAACTATAGAAGAGTGAAGCTTATAGAGCACCCTTAGAGGTCCAACAACAATATGTTCCTTTGTGGCATCATGGATCAAAGGTTGTGATGACCATGCTTCTTGAACTGGAGGTATCAGTCTTGATGCAAGATTGTTAGTCGATGTTTATATTCTCCGATATAGTAGGCCTAGGGGGTACTTGTATGGTTAGCAATCCAACACCCAAATCAGTTAGGGTTCAAGATAGTGGTAGTGAAAGTGGGATTATAGATTGAGTATATGAAAACCTTTTACAAGGGTATTTGTACCCTGGGTCTGATGGGGCAGATTAGATAATGGACCTCGGGCTATTGGTCTTTGATTGGTGCCGAGTAATGGATCATTAGCCTTGGACGGAACGAAATAGTGGGTCTCGGGTCTTGGCCGACACGAAACAGTCGCCCTTAAGACTCGTCGGTCATGTTTGATGTTTGGGGAGTTTCCTAGTAGTCGTGTTTGACCTCTAAGGGTGCTCCTCCATGCGTTGGTTGGCATGTGCCGCTTTGGTTTTGCCAAAGCATGATGGGGATGTGAGCATTAAATGCAATCCCATTAGTGGGGAATTTCGCTATTTTTCTTTGATGTGTGACGTGAAAAGGTATGGGACTATGTGACGCAGCTTTTCGTGTACTTGAGTACACTTGAGTACGGTTGTCTTCCGCAAATAAATTATGACTCTTGATTTACCCCTGTTTCTTGCTTTCGATCTGATTCATTTGATTGCCTTTGTCTATATAAATAAGGAGAGAGAGAGAGAGAGAGAGAGAGAGAGAGAGAGAGAGAGAGAGAGAGAGAGAGAGAGAGAGAGAGAGAGAGAGAGAGAGAGAGAGAGAGAGAGAGAGAGAGAGAGAGAGAGAGAGAGAGAGAGAGAGAGAGAGAGAGAGAGAGAGAGAGAGAGAGAGAGATTTTGGAGAAACTTTTTACCCATCTTGCAGACTGAGTTTCCCTTGTATCTTTGAGTCTTTTCGTCTTATCTAAGAACATTTATCTTAACTGGAGTCTGAATCATTGTCCTCCACCTCTGTCAGTGGGGATTTTGAATCAAGAGTCATCATTTTGAGTGATGATTCAAAAATGGAAGGCTCGTCTGGAGAATTTCTTTCAGACGAAGTCCTTTCTTGGGATTCTTCAGAGATTATGTTTCCGGTGAAGTCTGACGAGGGTGAAAACCTTGCCAATAGACCTATTCATCTTCCTGTCTTGACCAAGGCAGAAATAGAGGTTGTTGGTCAAAGGAGGGAACATGTCGGTCGCCTCGTTGACACATATCGGGAAGTAACTAACCTGGAGTGATGATCAACTTACTCTTCACGTGGAGTGCCAAGGGTAGCATGATATTGTGTTCCGGATCATCCGTGGTGATTATCAAAGGCACTAAAATATAGTTGCAAGTATTCAAAGGTGTGTCCTCTAAATACTTTATTCTTCGGTTTCAAACTCAACAGAGGTAATAGGTCATAAAAAATTAAAAGGTG